TGCTCTCTCAAATAAATAAAATCTTTAAAAAAAAAATAAAAAATAAAAAGAATCCTCTTAGATGTTCATTAAATACAATAACTTCTCGCCTCAATCACTAAGACAGGAGCTCAAAATAAGTCAGGCTGACTCGAATGTTATACAATATATTTTTCTCAATTACACAACAGCAGTTTCCAAGTTCATCCCTCTTTCATCCTAATGTGATTTATATAACCACAGAGAACCAAAGCAAAGGGAAAAAAAAATCCCAAGGCCTGAATGATGAAGGAAGAATATTCCTTTTGGAAATTAAAGTACACCGTCAAACAGGGATGATATCTAAAAAAGAATCTCTAGCACCACTATGAAATAATATAATAAAATACATAAGAAACAAACCAACTTTAGAACTCACCTCTGATTAAGTCAACATCAATCAAGTCTGGTTTTATGTGACCCATCTTTTTTGGTTTGTTTTTGAAGCCCTAGTATAAAACAAAACCAAACCAGAGATAAGGGTAAAAAGCCCTTTTAAATACAAAAGGTAAACTTACATTTCTTTTTTTCTATATCTGACACCTTTTTACTGGGGACACTTTAATCCTAATGTTCCTTAAAATAACTTATCATTAATGTTTTAGTTTGTAGTTTACCAAGTAATGCAAGAATATACGTTTATCACTTTTTAAAATGATCCAACAATGCCAAAGGATCAGGAAGTACAAAATAATAGTCCCTTCATCCCCTCTCCTCTCCTTCCGGTTTCAGTCATTAAAAACAAACATTCATTAAAAACAAATAACTTTCATCTTTTTTTTTTTTAAACCGGTTCTCTTGGTATTTACTTCCATACTTTTTTTTTTTTTTTTTAAGTAAACTCCACATGCAGCATGGAGCCCAACATAGGGCTTAAACTCACAACCCTGAAGACCTGAGCTGAGATCCAGAGTCAGGTGCTTAACTGACCGAGCCACCCAGGTGCCCCTACTTCTATACTTCTAAATAATACGTTTATACTGCCATTTTTTAATTTATTGATTTTAGAAATAATCCACTGACTCCTAATACCGCATATGAGAATTTAGCTCTCTTACACAACTAATCCCCACATCCTAACTTCCACCCCAAAAACATAAATCCTTGCAATAGTTACATTAATTTTTGATAAATCAGTAATTAGTAGTTATGATATGATCACTATGAAATATTGTTCCCTGTAAGCCATATTTTATATTCTCCTAATTCACTCTATGGAGTCAGCTAAAACATCATTTTCCAAATACTCAAATGCCAGAAAATTAATCAAAGTCTTTTTTTCTTGAAAAAAAAAAATTCCTGGAAATGCCCTTCCCAGAAACTTCTATCTTCCTGCTGCAATCAGACTGGTAGACTGGTTGCTCTCGGGACCGGCTGCACAGCTAGCTCTCTATGCAGGACTTCTCACTATCACCCTGACAACTCCCTTCACCTCTGTGGTGAATCTCTAGCTCTTACATCCCATGTCTTTCTGGAGTGCATCCTTCAGAAGCTTCCTGAGAAAGGGGTTACAGAAGATACCTTTTTTAAGCCTCGCATGTCTGAAAATGAATTCATTTTACCCTTATGCCTAATAAAAGGTTACACTAGAGTGTAGAATTCTAAGTTGTTAATAATTTTCCTTCAGGAATTAAGACATTGTTCTACTGTTTTCTAGCTTCCAGTGTTGCTGTTACAAACTCTAGTGCCTTTCTGATTCCTGATCCTTTGAATGTCAATTGTTCCTTTCCTCTGAATCTTCACTTTATTCATGGTGTTCAGAAATTTGATAATGATATGCCTGGATATGAGTCTTTTACATCTCTTGTGCTGAGAATCCCTTCTATGTGGCTCTAGGGAAGTTTTCTTATAATTTATTTTTATATTTCTCCCCTTCTCAGATTTAACTTCCCTATTTTCTTTTTTGTTTTTTTAAATTTAATTTTATTATGTTATATTAATCACCATACATTACATCATTAGTTTTGATGTAGTGTTCCATGATTCACTGTTTGCGTATAACACCCAGTGCTCCATGCAGTACACGCCCTCTTTAATACCCATCACCAGGCTAACCCATCCCCCTACCCCCTCCCCTCTAAAACCCTCAGTTTGTTTCTTGGAGTCCATAGTCTCTCTTGGTTCATCTCCCCCTCCGATTTCCCCTCCCCCTTTATTTTTCCCTATTTTTTTTTTTTAACATATAATGTATTATTTGTTTCAGAGGTACAGGTCTGTGATTCAACAGTCTTACACAATTCACAGCACTCACCATAGCACATACCCTCCCCAATGTCTATCACCCAGCCATCCCATCCCTCCCAGCCCCTACCACTACAGCAACCCTCGGTTTGTTAACTTTCCTATTTCTTACCTCTTTTGTCTTTTTGACCTGCTTTCTAGAAAGTTCCTCAAGTTCTATTGAATTTTTCATTCTGACTCTTTGAGTTCATTTCTTTCTGTTCTTTTTATTTTGGAGGATTTATTCAAATACCTAATAATCACTGGCTTTCTTTATATATTAGAATGAAGCACTGAAAACCTGATGGACTCAATATTCTACTTCAAGGTACATATCCGAGACAAATGTGTATGTATTTCACTAAATAATGTGTACAAAATGTTCACAGAAGAATAATTTCTAAGAGCTTCCAGACTGGAAACTACCCAGTGACAATAATTGGATATTGCCCATTAACAGTAGAATGCATAAATAATTGTGGTGTTGTACAATTATGCAACATGAATGAATTTCACAAACATAAAACTGAAAAAAATTAGACTCAAATGTGTATGTATCGTATAATTTCATTTACGTAAAGTTCAAAAAGGCAAAATTAATCCATAGCACTAGTAGTCGGGATACTGGTCTACCTCTGTTGGTAGTAGTGACTGGAAGAGTATGGAAGGGAAGCTTCTATGGTACTGCTAATTATCTATCTCTTGATCTTAATGCTGGTTACATGGTTACATTCAGTTTGAGAAAATTTCTCAACCTTTACACTTAAAATTTTGTTATATATGCATAAGTATATCCATATTTACTGAACATGCTTTACTTCAACAGAAAGTCTGTAAAACTTATTGGAAGCTCTATGTATATGAGCGTAGCTTATAGACTTGGGATTTCACTGCGGAGTAATCAACCAGCTTAAGGGAATCACCAAATGTCAATATCTGGAGGCATTTTTTGTGGGGTCATTGAAGGCTCTTCAAAGAATTTTCCAGTATTCACCTTGGTTGAAGGTTAGGAAGGCTAAAGATTTCTGTGGTGGAAGTTTTGAGATTAAAACAAGGGGCTCACAATTCTTTTAGTATCGTGATTCTTGCCTGCCCTTCAGTGTCCACAGACCCTTCTCCAATGAATTTTCTAAGAAATATCACCAGTCTCCTTCATAAGGGCATTGTTGCCCATCTTTAAGGGATTGACGAGAAGACAAAAGGTTCAATCTCTACATATACAAAGTTATTCAATCCCCCATTTAACTGCCTCACATGAAACCTGGTGAATTCAAGTCCTAAGCCTCTCTGGGGAGCTCTGCAGGGCAACTGGCATTTTCCCCTGCTCTCCTAGCACTCTCTTCCATTCATTTTTCATCTTCCATATATATGTTGATTCCTTTACTACTGACATCTTCCTCCTCAATCTTTTTCCTTGACTTTATGGATGCATTCATTTTATACAACCCCTTTAGGGATTCCTTTCATGTAATTTAGTGGTAACTCAGAAAGGAGAGATTATAAATTTAGTGTGTGGCCAATCTACCACATTTAACCAAAAATCTAATCATAATTTTTTTTCAGGGCATGAAGAAAGAATCCTTTCAGGGCCTTTGTCTTCTACCACCTCAAATTAAAAGTAAGTTTGTGAATTATCTTTTGTGTTTCAAACTCCTGGTTTGACTAACAGTTTTGTTTCAATACTATTAATAAATAAAACCTTTAAAAGATGAATTTTAATTTTATATTCAACAGGTGTAAATGCTAAACCAGCTTTTAAAATTAGGTATTTAAGCATTAAATTAAAGTAACAATTAAAGGTTACAGCCGTTTGCTATTTCCCTATTTCAGACATTGAGCCAGTATTGATCTTTAGTTCTGTTTAAACAGATTTGGCCAATTTCTCTTAAGTGGATCCTATGTTTCTATCCATTTCAACTACAAACTATAGATTTTAGAGAAGAATGTTCTAAAACCCTACATGTAATAAAATTAAATCTAAGGAGGAATCAAAATTTGAAAGTTATACATTTCAGAGAAAAAAATAATCCTCTGGAACACACGTACACTAATTTTTGAAACATGCATAATATCCATGGGAATAACAATTATCTTGGCTACATACAAAATCAGAAATTAAAATTTTAAAAGTAAAAATATCAATGTAGTATTTTCTAACAGACAAAGACCTTGTGGACCTTTATTTCCTTCAGACAAATACCCAGAAATGGGACAGCTGGATCAAATCATAGTTCTATTTTTAATTTTTTGAAAAGCCTCGATACTGTTTTCCATAACGGTTATACCAGTTTACATTCCCACCAACGGTATATAAAAGTTCTCTTTTCTCTACATCCTCACCAACACTTATTATCTTCTGACTTTCTGATAAGAGTCAAACAGTCCTGACAGGTGTGAGGGGATATCTCACTATGGTTTTGATTCACATTTCCCTGATTATTAGTGATGTTAAACACCTTTTTCATATACCCATTGGGTATATCTTTTTTGGAAAAATGTCTGTTCAGGTCCTTTGTCCATTTTTAATTGGATTACTTGTTTTTAACTATTGAGGTGTAAGAGTTCCTTATATATTTTGAATGTAAACCCTTTATCAGATATATGGTTTACAAATATTTTCTCCCATTCCATAGGTTGCCTTTTCATTATTGCTTCCTTTGCCATGCAAAACACTTTTTAGTTTGATGTAGTCTCACTTGTTAATTTTTGCTTTTGTTGTCTGTGCTTTTTTGTCAAATTCAAAAAACTCTTGGCCACTGAGCCCCTGGTTTCTTCTAGGACAATTTCAGGTCTTACACTTAAGTCTTTAATCCATCTTGAGTTGATTTTTATGTGTGGTGTAAAATAAAGGTCCAATATCATTCTCCTGCATGAGGATATCTATCCAGTTTTCCCAACATCATTTACTGAAGAGACTCTTCTTCCCATCACATATTTTGACACCTCTATCAAAGATTAGTTGACTGTGTAAGCATGGGTGTATTTCTGGGGTCTCCATTTTGTCCCATTCGTCTATGTGTCTTTTATGACTGTATCATACTGCTTTGATTACTATAGCTTTGTAATATAATTTGAAATCAGGAAGTGTGATGCCTCCAACTTTGCTCTTCTTACTCAAGGCTGCTTTAGCTATTTGGAGTGCTTTGTAGTTCCATACGAATCTTAGGATTTTTTTTTTGCATCTGTGAATAATACCATTGGAATTTTGACAGACTGCTTTTAATCTCTA